CTCGAATAATACAGTTCGATACTGACAGGACTAACCAACGTGAAGGTGAGAGTACAGTCGTTCCAATGCCAAAGGGCGGTTTTTTTAAAAAAAAAAGTGCGCTTTTAATTTTTCCAAAAGGCGGTTTTGATTCATCCAATGGGCGGTTTTAATTTTTCCCAAAGAGCGGTTTTTATTTTTTCAAAGGGCGGTTTTTTTAAATCTCAGGCTATCGTGTCATCTCATCAAACCTTTTGATCTTTGTTAAATTAAGTGTGGATTTGCTGAAATATCACAGAAGTACTGGAGGATAAAATTGCATAGGATCCAAAGGAGTGTTTGTAATTAAGGACTTTGTATTCGATTCTGAAGTGGTAGAAATATGTTAAGCGAGAATTATGACAGGATCTGCTACAATGTTCATATATTAATAAATGCACTTGATTGACTGAGATATCTAATATGACATTGAAAGTCATCACAAGTATTTTGAATATGAAAGCACTTGACTGTTAGCGCTCATTATTGGTTATCATTTTGAGGCAAAGAAGAAAGAAATGAATATAGTTATATGTGGAGGTGATATCTTCAATTTTATCCAGACTATGTATTTAACTGTTAGAATGGAGTTATTTTGTTGTCTGATAGAACTCCTGGAAGTATCATATCAGGGAAATGTAAGGGAAGTTTACAAGATCATATTAATGCATGTTCAAATAACTCAAATGATGTATTATGTTTAGAGTCATAGCTCTAAAACTGCATTTTTAATTGACTTTTTATTACCATCAAACAAACTTTTATTGATATTGCCAACAATAAATGTGAATAATTCAATAGATTCATAATGATTCAACAATCGCCTCATCGCACAGCTCAAATGGACGAATTAATACTTCCTTATTGTATATTAAATACGTTCAATAAAAGAAGGTTTAGCTGTTACCGCACGAAGATCATCTCAGTCACGATTAAGGTTTAATTATCTGGTTTATAAAAGAAGACAATGCTTTAAAAGTCTTTTTATTAATGATAAGAAAGAAATACTTGTGCAACAGGAGTATCACTTATATACGTTACGAAATAGTCTGTTGCTGAAGAAGTATATTCAAATGATTATAAGGAACGGATATTCACCTAATCATTCTCTTTAACAAAAAAGAAAGAAAAAAGAAAAATGAGATGATTGATTTTACGCTAACTGCTATCGCGCATCACTCAATGATACCTTTAATTACATTGATCCACTGTTGTATCTCGTATCAGAATAGTACGCAAAATAGGATAGATAAACTGTCCGTTTATGAGGACATGTTGAATAGTATATTTTATTATTTCCGTATCCTTTCATTAGAGTGAAGAGAAATTCAAATGTATCCAAAACTTATAGTTAGTACTGTACCTGTGTGTCGTACTTTTAGGTTCGTGTAATATATCTTTAGGAATATATCATCCGATCTGCAGAACATTTTACCAATATTCTTCAAGAAAGCACATTATAGAAGAAAAAAGAAGTAAATAATATGAAAACCAATTTAATAAGAGTACCCCATCCTTATTCGATAACATTACAGTAATGGTATTAGTATTCTCGTCTCATAATACCTTGAACTATTTATCTTGTAGGAGGTAATACTTTGACAACTGAAATTGGAATTTTTTGGCACAAATATTAGAGTCATAGCCATCGTACTTCATTTCAAATCAACATCATCGCTTAAATGGATTTAAGCTCTCCTTGACTATTTTTCTTTTGAATGTACGGATATGCAAATAGTATTAATGATTTAGTGCGAATCAACTTGAATATAAAGATAAGTGAATATCTTTTATTATAATATTTATCTTTTTATTGGAACAAACATAAATGCTTTCTTATTTAATACAAAACAATGTTTACAAAACAAAGTTTTTTACAATAATATATTATTATTATTTTTATGTTTTTGATTTGGCTTTTGCCTTTGCCTTTGCCTTGGATCTTACTTTCGATTCCAATTCTGGCTCTGATTTGGCTTTAGATTTGGCTTTGGCTTTTGCCCTTGCCTTTCTAGTACTTTTTGGAGCTTTTGTTGATGTTGATGTAGTTGGTGTTGTTTTTGCCCCTTTCGAACTCTCTGATTCGTCAATTGGAGGATCAACAGGAGGAGGATTATTCATCTGATCTTTGTGTGCATTGTTTATCAGTTGCATGATAAAGGGAAAGTAATCAAACTTTAATCGTGACATTGCCAATATTTCTTTCTGTGTTTGAGCCTCCCGTTCCTTGATATTGCGTGCTAATGTAGAGATGTTTTGTTGTAATTCATCTTTGATACAAGATGACTTTCTGAGCTTCTTTGGAGGAGCCGGTTCATCTTGTTGTTCATTATTATCATCATCATTCTTAGCATCGTTATTATCATCCTCATCATCCTCATCATCCTCAGTCGCTCTCTTTCTCTTTAAATTCTCTCGCTCTTCTTCCATCTGTTCTGGTTCATTTTGATTGGTCGTTATTGACTCCAATTCGTTGGTATAATTTGAAAGATTCTCCTTCATCTCAATTAGTGGATTCTTTATCGCAACTAAGATATTGCATTGAACATCATCTGACATCTTTTGACCCAAGATGGGACCCAAGGTTTCAAGCCAGTGTTCATCTTCTTTGATTGGTGCCAACTTGACAGGTCTGCTTTTTAAGCCATCCAACTCCCAAATGAATCCATCTTTGGGGATATAACTAACAAAGTGAAAGCTATCTTCATCCACCAAATCATCCTCTGTTAATTGCGTGTTTGCTTGGATTGCTGCGTTTGCTTTTGTTTCACCACTAATTTTCAAAGATTAAGTATCATGTTTGCTGCTATTTACTAAAGGAGACTTACACCGCGTATGAGTTGTGAATTTTGCGGATATGAGGGGAGTTACCCAGGGCGATGCCTCGATTCTATTATTTTTATTAGATTAAGTTTAAATTGCTGTCTTGAATATGTTACTTACGATGGGTGAAAACTCGTCTGTAAAGGAGGCAAAGTCTTTGATAATATTGCCTCTGTCAATATCAGCGTTAAGTAAAATAGATAAAAGCGCGAGTGTAGCGCATGCGTTTGTTACGATCTAGTTTTTTTTTTTTTTGAGCATGAGTAAATGAACAATACAAAAAAAAAAAGCAATTTCTAAAAGAACTCACTTGTGAAGTGAATATAACATTTTCTGCACCAGTTTCTTCCTCCTCTATGTCGTCTGGTAATGGTTCATCGGGGTCGTAGCGAGAGGTATAAATCACACCATAAACAGGGCTATTTTATATTTTATATTTAATCAATCTTGAATATGACTATGAAAGAATGACTTACGAATCGTTAATCAGGTCATCAAATGTAACAGAGTAGGCTTCTTGTATCATGACTTGATTAATATTGTAGGCGCGTAACATGTCATTGAAAACATCTATTATTTTATACGAATCAATAAGTTGCCAAGGTAAAACAAATAAATAAAACATAATACGAACCAGGATCAGAAGAGATCAAAGACCAATTGGCCTCGAGTTCAGATTTTTCAATAGCTTGCATTTGTAAATTTAATAAAAAGCGCAGTAAAGTGGGTTTAGATAAGGAATTACTTTTCTTATAAGTTAACAGCTTTTGACAATACTAGTCACATTCTTTTAATGCAAACACATTTTGAAAAAGCGAAGCGATCGCGAAAATGATTGGATTAGCTAGACCAATCATTTTCGATATCGCTTGCTCAGGGGACGTATTTAAGGGGGAAGAAAATTTCAATGCCAAATATGGTAATTTTGAATTAAAAAAATGAAAAGTGGAAGCTTAAATGCCTTTCGCTTAGACGCTTCAAATGTAATACATTTGAAAACGACGATGGAACGTGGGATCCACAAAAAAATACAACCATTAGAAATACTCAAGAAAATATGCCTTTAAATAAGTACTTTAACTCTTCTTTTGCGATTGTCACAAGTTAGAGAACTACAGGCTTTGCAATGCGTAACTGGAATAAATATTATTCTGGCGTACTTTCGTTGGAAAATAATTGTTTGGTTTTCTGGATTAAATTGTAGGAGAATTATTGATAATTAGATTTGAATTTTACTTGAATAATTCATATTTTGTCGCATAGAATGTGAAAGAAGTTGTCGTATTTAAGGTCGTAAGATATATAAAAACATTAGAATAAGAATAACAAGGCATACAAATGTCAAATAATAAGATGGATCGATAAGATTTAAAAATATATAAAATCCATTATTTAATCAATATGATTAAATAATGATAAACTATGAAGTAACACACAGTAAATACCAGTACCTTAGAAACAGGTCAGAGTAAACCCAAAACATTATAACAAATAGAGTATATATTATAGAATCAACTTAGATAAGATTAGCTACCTTATCTAAGAGGACAGAGCAGCTTGATCTATAATATATCATGTTTGATTATATATGTAATATCATTAGATAATAGTATGCTAATGATAGAGATGGGACATGGATCGTTTATGACTCTCTTAGCTCAACAGCCGTCTTATTCATAGCTCTTGTGATATGAAACTACGGTAATAAGGATAGATAACATGTAGTCTAACTTATTGATTAAAGACTGTTCTCAGTGTTACTCAAGATAGATGTCAATAGTAGAAGTTGTACCTATTTAATAATATTCTTTTATAAATGTAATAAACATGTATTTTTAATAATATTCTTTTATAAATGTAATAAACATTTATATAGAATATATATTGAAACAACTCGTACCTTTAGTTATGATTCAATATCAGATACCAACTAAAGGACTTCATACTGTCAGTGCATTAGATGATGTTACTGAAGCCACATCTGCCTAATAATAGTTTATAAATCAAACATCCCATCACTATTCATGCAAAACCTAATTTGTCAATGTATATATAAGGCTAGGGCAAAACCAACTCAACCCTTGTGGCGCAATAATTCTTATTCTGATATATTCTTGGAAATAATCTATCTTCGAGGTCTTCACTTCTTTTCTTATATTAATTTCTTTTGGTATAATAAAAGTCTCATTCATCTCATCAAACCTTTTGATCTTTGTTAAATTAAGTGTGGATTTGCTGAAATATCACAACTACGTCACCGTTCACAAGGCGGTTGGTGATTCAGAATGAGCGTGTTCAGAGGAAGAAGAAGAAGGAGAGGAGAGTTGACGACGCTCTCGCTCAATCCACAGCATACCGGGTGAGGGATCAGTTGAATAATCACCATCAGGGTTGCAGATGCGATCAAACCGTTGAAGAATGAGCATCAAGTGGAGCCAAACAAGAGGACAGGGATCAGAGGATTTCTCTGGAAGCGCGTTCAGGTGAGCATCAATGATATTGATATCAGGGTGATACGGGCGAAAAAGGGCGGAACGAAGAGAAAGAGGAATAGAAGGGCAGTGTGGGAGATGATGACGTAATGTCAACTAAGGTTTTCACCTCTCCAAGATCAACAAATACGATTTTTGACAAGTCCAAGTAGCGTAAATTTTTGAACATGCCGATATACTGATAATCAAAGCTGGAGGACTTGACGATGATGTGAACAATATTTTGGAATATGAAAGTTCCTTCACAATAGTCTCCATAATGCCTGATTTTATAAACAACGTCCAACAAAGGGTAATTACTGAAAATGGCGTTGATCTTCTTGTTGACAAGCGTGAAAATAAATTTGTCACGTAATTTCAAGCGAACGTATATAAGCTTTAGTAGATTTTCATTCAAAACAATAATATTTGACATGTTTGTTCCTAAATAATTGCTCAACACAGTCATCGTCTTGGATATTGATGGAGTCCTTCCAAGTGTGCTGTCCTCAATGCCCCTCTGGATAGGACCATCACTCTATATGGCGAGCCCATTCCAACTGTTGATAACTTCACCTATCTTGGTGTCCCTTTCCGCTCGAATGGTATCTCTGCCTCTGACATGATCAGTCATCGTCAAAAGGGTACTCTGGCTGCCATAGCACAATTGAATTCCATTGGTGCTAATCGTGCTGGTTTTCTTTTACGTCTCTCTGCCCGGTTGTATGCTACCTTCATCCGCCCGAAAGCTGAATATGGCCTTGCCGTTGTTCGCTTGAAGGCTAAGGAATGCAAAGCTCTTGAGTCTACACAAAACAAGTGTTTCCGTATGATGTATGGGGGTCACCCTACATCCTCTACAATGGTGCTCCGCCACATGGTTAACTTACCATCAATGTCCTTCCGTGCTGATACTTTGGTCACCAAGTATTGCTGGCGTGCCAGTTCCCTTCCAAAGGATTGTCTCTTGTCTCTTCTTTCTGCAGTGGTCTCTTCCCCAAGGTTGGACCTACTGCGATCCCTTAAAATGCATGAAGCAAGCCCCAAACGCGCGCCGATTGCTGTTAAAAATAAGTGGATTCGTACGTACCGCATGGACTGCTTCCAAAATTTTTTTGCTGGTACCGATAGGAAGCTTATTAAAGCCTGCCATCCTGAACTCAGGATCGATCCTGTTCTTTACCTGCCTGCATCTCGTGCTGACCGTAGACGTCTTGCCCGCTGGCGCATGAACTGGTTGCCTGGAAAACTGAAGCAATGTGCTTGTTCATCAGAAGTGTTAGTTATCTCCCTGTAACATTGCGTAATGTTACTGTAAGCAATAGTGCCATTGAAGAGATACTGAAACTAGCTGCTCATGTAAATCGTAGAATTTTTTCTATGTAAGTGTTTTTGTAGAAATCTCGCGACACCATACATTAGGTTATACCGTGCTTATATGAAATTCTTGAAACAACGTAGAAAAATCAGCAAATCTAAAAAACGAAGACACGCAAAGCCCTCTGACAATAAGAGAGCCAAAAAATTAAAAACACCTTCTCCTGTACGAGCAGCAAATGGAATCACAACTTCTTTATAAGAGTAGAATGAAATATGGAAACTCTGCTCCACAAGATTTTATCCCAGCTGCAAGATTTGAAAAGTTTCCACAAATACGAACCGATTACAGAGTAGTTATCGACTTGAATAATGTTTTAAACCAGGATTTGATTAGTACCGATTATAATACGATTGAAGCCGCGATTAACAAGTTAAAGACACTGCTAATTCATTCATTTGTCGTTAGTCAGCAAAACAACTGGGTTTTCATTTCACAAGTGGAAGTGTATTATCACGACAAAAAATTCGATGATGCTGCCCAGGTCAATGACAAGGATATATACCCCCAACATTTATTAATCAACATGGCCAAGTGCCAAGAAAGTAAAGGATCGTGGTATGAATTGCGCTTCCGTCTTCAGAAAATTGAAATAGTAGCAACTGGTGGCTATTACAACAATGAAAAAAGCAGTAAGACACTGGGAGCCTTTCTTGGAGTTGCAGCGCCGCATTGTCTTGCATCAGATACCTTCTTTATCCTGTTTGCACCCACCATACCAGCAGAGACCTTGTCTTGCATTAGAATGCTCAGAAACTACAATAGAAATGCAAGTATGAAAAAATGGTGTTTCAAGTCTTCTTTTTTTTCAAATATGCATTTCGCAACACCAGACCAGCTAAGGCTCTATGAGCAAACGCCAATTGGATATGTGTATATATGTTCAAGTTGTTGTATTTAGCTGCTCATGATGAACTTACAGAATATGAAATTGGAGCTTTAAGCTATATGATGAATGAATTCGACTATTGGAAAGATCTTGAATTCAAAACCCCAGTAGGTAAAGTAGAGATCTTATCCAAACTTAAAAAAATCAAGAAAATAGAAAAGGCTACAGAGAGAAAGTTATCTGAAGCGAAGCGGCTACTTATTGAGTTTATGATTAATCGCCAGCATCCAATAAATAATAACGCTCTATTGATTCTTTACAATGGAATAATCTATCCACAAATAAAGATTATCAACAAGAAGAGGATGAAAAGTATGCTAATGTAATAAAGTATTCTGGGTTTGTCAAGACAGACAACCTGTATCGAACAATATTGATGGCATTGATTTTTAAAAATGAGTACCCATCTGAGCTCTTACGCATATCCATCACTTTTATTAAGTCTTGAATGTGCCTTGATCTATAAACTACTTCTTTTCTAAACCCTCAATTGTTCGCCTAATATCTCCACATGGCCACTCCACCAGATATTCTGTGGAGTAAAGTTGTGGAGCAAGGAGGCCAATTGAAAGTCTTTTTGCCTCCAAAACCTAAGAAAACAACAACCAATAACTTATCAACTGTTAAATACATCCCTAAGACTATATTAAAACGAGACAACTATTTTGCGGATATCCTTTATCGTAAAGCTGCAGCTATAGTGCATCAATCGCTCACTGATGGATCGGTTCTATTTGCCTTTCCAAAAAAATACTTGTTCGCTTCCCACACCGAGGCTTACGAAATCGTCGAACAGCAATTGGGAGCAACAGATTGTTTTCAACTCATAGGCGGGTATGCTCCTCGTGCATCAAATAAGATGCTAATAGAGATGCGGTTTTCGTACAAGGTTGGCCATATACAGGCAATATCGCAAGGTGTTACACATAATAATATTAACATTCGAGCTTAACCTTCCGCTCGCATCGATTTACCTGAAGGATTGATGCATTTTCAATTGATCAGTCTTTATTCAGAAAAAAGGTAGTAAAGTTATTGATTTTAAATATCGTAGTTGAGGAGTTTACAAGAATCGTCTTCATAAATATCGACGAAAATAACCCTATGAGCTTTGTCTAAATATTTATAGTGGTCCATGGAGTAGACGTAGAATCTAGTATGCTTATAAGTGAAACTTCAGGATTGATCTACTATACTGTGTTGTGCCATCGACTAATAAATAACCACTGTGTTTGTTGTTGGTACCAGGAATTTCCCAGCCAACATTAGCAGAAACATAGATATTGGTGTTTTTGGGAATATAATTAGAAATAGTGGAGATATAAGGACGAAGAGCAAATCCATAAAAAGTTAAATTATAAGGATTGCATAGAGCAAATTCATATAAAGCGTATTGAGGCACTTCAGTTACTTTAATTCTGAGCCTTTCTTCTTGGCCGGTTTTTTTTTTTATGCAAAGTTTTTTTTGTAAAATATCCCATTCATTTCTGGAAATAGTGTAATGATATCTCTTGAACTAAAGACACCTTATAAAACCCAAGAGATCAGTTCTTTGAAATTAGGGTTTTCCTCTCCAATCAAATCACTCTATTTTCTCCCTTTTTAAAGTTCTTCCAATTATAGTAATGATTTACTATCCCGTCGTTTTCGTACCGTCAGAAAAGAAAGGGTCATATAGATCCATCAAAAGTAAACAAGTGCTTTTTATAATGCAAAATAGACTCATTTATTCGTTTCCAATGACATTAAAGATAAAAAAAAAAGAGCATTACAAAGACTAAAAAAAAAACAAAAAAAAACAGAACCCTCATTGTCCTTGCATAATCAACATGCGTGATCATGAACTGTGGATACATAAAAGTGGGGCAATCTGATTGGTTGATAAGACTAAACAAATCGACAACACGTAAAAACAAAGTGTTGCGAAACGGGGTATAAAATGCACCCAATGATTGCACCGTGCGTCATCATCCGGATAGACTTCTTTGCAAACCCTTCCCGCTCGAACTTGGATCAAAATGATATAGCAAAAGAAATAAACCAACAATGGCACAACCCAAGTTCTCATATTTGGTAAACCCAATAACAATAAGAAACAATGAACAAATAGCAGTTAACAAAAAAAAAAAAAAAAGAACAAAAAAGAAAAAAACATTGTCCGCTTTGTACACTTTCAAACAGATAAAATTAAAAACTTTTTCTTTCCCCCCTTCTCTTTTTCTCTTTCTCTCTTCGTTTTTCTAATAAAGCATGCAACAATCACCAGGCTCACAAGGTGCCCAAAGACCACCAGCACCAGGTCAACAACCTATACGACCTATGAACTTTAGACCTCAGCAACCTGGTTACCGTCCTCCTATCCAACAGCAACCTGGTATGCCTAGACCCGGCATGGGCTCACCCAACGTGGCCAACGCACCTTATCCGGGAGTGCCTGTTGCACGTCCAGGTTTCGTGCCGCCCAATGGTGCTCGTCCCATGATGCGTCCATCTGGCTCTCCCCTGCAGTCACCTGCTCCACGTCCAATGTCTGCAAGTCCTGTTGTCTCTCCCGCAGAGACGCCTGCATCGCCTACGGGACAAGCTGCTGCTGACCATCATCGTAAGAAGAGAATGTATCCTGAACAGATTACAAAAGCCTATGCGGGGGATATGTCACCAGGCTACCAACAACAACAGCCCATGCAACAGCAGCAACAGCAGTATGGTTCACCAGGTATGGCTCAGCAACAGCCAGTTCAGAATCAATTCATCTCTCCTATGGGTACACCCACTACCAATACCTTTCCTCAACAGCAACAACAACAGCAGCAACCTGCCTATAACACAGCGCCCACATCTTATAACGCGT